TTACCCTGATAAAGCTCCATGCATATACCCTCTCAGACTATTTTTCTAGAACACCTGCATTATTTACCAACAGCAGGGTAGTGTTTAGCATGAGGCTAAATGGAGTTGTGGGGAAGAGCCTTTGGGACTTGTTCTCTCTCCAGTTCCTCATCAGCATTTTGAGATTCAATTCTCCAGTAGATTCTTGGTTTCCCCTTTTTTTTTTCCAGGCCTGTGCACAGTAAAATCACTTTCCTGCTGCCCAACAGCTGCATGGTCTCTAGACTTCCTGGCCTTCTCTGTGTCTCTTGCACTCTCCCCTTTCACTTATACCAGGTCACTTACAGGTGTAGGTGCCAAGCTGACAGCACTTTCCCCCTCCTGCCCTAGGATTTCACAGGTGTACTGGAAGTTGCATACCACTTCCTGCTCAAATCTGCAGCTCAAAGTCCCTTGGGCCAATCCCTGGATTTTGGGATGCTGAACTGAACTCCTCCAACCCCAAGCTGGTTCCATGACTTTCCTTAAGGAAAAGTGGGCTGCAGAGTTTTCCACTGAAACTTTGTTGTTTTTTTTCTTACTACAGGACTGGATCCTGCAGGACCCAAGTACACGAAAGCCAGCCCTGAAGAGCGCCTGGATCCTGGAGATGCCCTCTTTGTAGAAGCCATTCACACTGACTCAGACAGTAATCTGGTTTCTGTGTTTTTCAGCCTGATTACTCCCCCCTGCCCCGCCTTTATTACTGAAAAGTAGTGTGCTCAGTGGACTACCCTCTAGGCCTAATGGTCCTGGGCTCAACTCCCACATCAGACTGTCTCTTCAGTAGATATGCTTCCTGGAAGGTTTACTAAAGCAGATCTAGTCAGGGAATTTCTGTCCATGCTACAGTGCCCCAGAGCAATAGCAGGGGTGGGAATTTCTCCATCATAGGTGCAGACTATGACAATCATTCATCAAGCACTTCTCCTCCCTGGCCTGTGCTGTAAGGCTGCTGTATAGTGCTGCTGGTAGGCACTGGTAAACACCGCACACTGATGCCTGTATGTAGTAGACAGGTATTGCTATGCACTCACTTCTATGCCCTTTGGGCACATAGTTCAGATCTGTTCCAGTGTAGTCTGCAGGGATGGTTGATAAACTCTGCAAAGTATTTGGGTGTGTGTTAAGATGAAAGGTGCTATAGAATAATAATGTCTTGTCTTGCCTTTCTGTAGTCCCTTCCATATGAAGACCACAAAGCTCTTTACAGACATTTATACATTAATCATTCCCATTTCAAATAAGTAGGAACCCAAGGCTCAGCAACTTAGAATTATACAGACTTACTGACTGCAGCAGCAGCAGAATCAGGACTAGAATCTCATTCCTGTTTCTCTAGCCCAGGAGGCTAACAAATGACTCTGGGATTTTGGCTCCTTTCAGATTTCGGCATCCGGATTGCTGTAGGCCACATTGACTACTTCATCAACGGAGGCAAAGACCAGCCTGGCTGCCGCCAGTTCTTGGGTAAGAAGGGCTAGTGGCATGTTGTCAAAGGAAGGGCCACACACTGCTGTTTATCAGCCTGTAAACAGCTCACACTTGGGAGAGGGGAGGTGGTCACATTTGTAATGATTAATATAAGGCCACAGATACTTGGAAAGGAAAAGCCATCACAGTACAAGTTTCATACCACAAGGCCTTTCTGCCCATGTCTCTCCTTCTCATTCCTAGGAAAAAGCATCACACACACACTGGAAACAAATGTCATCTTTATGGCATCATAAAAATGTTATGGAAGCCCAAAGGCCAATCAAACAGGCATCCATGTCCCTTGTCACACCACAAATGCCCAAAATGTGTGGTTGCCACATAGGTGGCATGAATTTGTCAGCTATTTTTCTGCAGACATCTGTTTGCTTTAAGGCAGGAGAGAGTGAGCAGCCTGGAGCTACCCACGCTCTCCAGCTGCCCTATACAGGCAGTCCTGGGACTCTAGGGGCCCAATCCTGCATGACCAGGGAATTCCTATTTCCAGAGTTTGCAGGATCAGGCCCTTGAAGGCCTGAAAGTGTCTACTTGGGTTCCCCTGTTTACAGACCTGCACCCTGAGAATCCCCCGGCAAAGGATTCCCTGGCTCTGCATCACACTGCTGCAGCCCAACACAAGGTGCACCTCTGCAAACAGGGAAACTTGGGGTTTCCCCATTTGCAGAAATGCATGCCCAGACAATCTTGACTTGGGACATGTCTTCACAAATAGGAAAAAAAACCAGGTTGCACTCATTCATAGATTCATAGATGTTAGGGTCGGAAGGGACCTCAGTAGATCATCGAGTCCGACCCCCTGCATAGGCAGGAAAAGAGTGCTGGGTCTAGATGACCCCAGCTAGATGCATATCCAACCTCCTCTTGAAGACCCCCAGGGTAGGGGAGAGCACCACCTCCCTTGGGAGCCCGTTCCAGACCTTGGCCACTCGAACTGTGAAGAAGTTCTTCCTAATGTCCAGTCTAAATCTGGTCTCTGCTAGCTTGTGGCCATTATTTCTTGCAACCCCCGGGGGCGCCTTGGTGAATAAAACCTCACCAATTCCCTTCTGTGCCCCCATGATGAACTTATAGACAGCCACAAGGTCGCCTCTCAACCTTCTCTTGCGGAGGCTGAAAAGGTCCAGGTTCTCTAGTCTCTCCTCGTAGGGCTTGGTCTGCAAGCCCTTAACCATACGAGTGGCCCTTCTCTGGACCCTCTCCAGGTTATCCGCATCCCTCCTGAAGTGCGGTGCCCAGAATTGCACGCAGTACTCCAACTGCGGTCTGACCAGTGTCTGATAGAGGGGAAGTATCACCTCTTTGGATCTATTCGTCATGCATCTGCTGATGCACGATAAAGTGCCATTAGCTTTTCTGATGGCTTCATCACACTGCCAACTCATGTTCATCTTGGAGTCCACTAGGACTCCAAGATCCCTTTCCACTTCTGTGCCACCCAGCAGGTTATTTCCTAGGCAGTAGGTGTGCTGGACATTTTTCCTCCCTAGGTGCAGCACTTTGCATTTCTCCATGTTGAACTGCATTCTGTTGTTTTCTGCCCACTTGTCCAACCTATCCAGGTCTGCTTGCAGCTGTTCCCTGCCCTCCGGCATGTCCACTTCTCCCCATAGCTTTGTGTCATCTGCAAACTTGGACAGAGTACACTTCACTCCCTCGTCCAAGTCGCCGATGAAGACATTAAAGAGTATCGGTCCAAGGACCGAGCCCTGCGGGACCCCACTGCCCACACCACATTGTAGAGGAATGCCAAGGATTTCCCAAGCACTCTTCTTTTGGTGGGGAAACTGAAGGTTTCCCTGTTTGCAGAGGTATGCCTTGAGTGTTGTCTCACAGGATTGGGCCCCAGCTGTACAGGACAGCAGGTAACATCTGTTTCACTCAGTGAAGTAGATCAGCTGTGCCAGGCCTGCAAGTAGAAATTTGTACCAGTAGAGTAAGATCAGCAAAGACCAGGATTGTTTGTGACCTTTCTATGCTGACAGAAGTTGTTATGTAGTCAGAGTTGATTTTGCTAGTTTATTTCATTCAGGGGAAGAGCTTCTAAGCTCTGCAAACAAAATAACTTTTTTCCTGATATAAACTGTATCTGCAGGAGGATGGTTTATTGATATATAGCAGTAAACATCCTTCTAGCTTGGACTAAACTAGTATTTATAGAATGTAAGGGGCTCTGCATCCATTTGTCTTAAAGTCCTTGGGTACATATCAGTAGGCTGCTCCACTGCATAAATAAAAATTTCCAAAGCACCTAAGTGACTTTACTTTTAGTGGGACTTAGGCCTCTAAATCACCTGGGCACCCTTAAAGGTTTTAGCCAATGGGCTCTTGCAGACAAAAGATTGTGCTTCTTAACCTGTGGCCTGAATATTACTGTATCAGGTTCCTCAGAAATGTGTAGAGAGACTAGGTCCCTGTCATTGTGCTTTATATTTCAGGCTACAAATACCTGATCTGTGATCACATGAGGGCAGTTCAGCTCTACATCAGTGCCTTGGAGGACTCCTGTCCTTTGATGGCGTTCCCCTGTTCCAGTCACCAAGATTTCCTTGACGCAAAGTGCCTGGATTGTTCAGATCCCTTCCAGCTCTCCTGTCCCAGAATAGGTAAGGTGCCAACTAGGGACCTGCATTGGCAGAGGGAGAATAGAAGCCTGCAGGTTCTCAGTGGCTTTGGGGTATGTGAGTCTATGAAAGACCCTGGAGATCCCTGCCAAACCTCTGATTCTGTGGCACTTCCCATCAGGACTAAAAATGCCTCAGATCATCAGTTTTGACTGCCCCTGTCTGTCATCACCAAAGTTTGGAAAAAGTCAGATCTGAGGCAAACCCTTCCTCTTGTCCTGGGCTGAATCAAATCCTCACTCCAAATGCCCCTAACCCTGGAAAAGGATTAGAAATAGGGATCCACATCTGGATCCAAATGTTGTGGCTGGTAGCCAATTCTGGTATCAATCTTGGTGTTCTAGCCAGCCACCCATGGCAATAGTTAACTTAGGTTCCTCCTGGAGTCTCAAGGTTGTCATCAGTCACTTACCTGCTGAGCAAATTCCTTGTTGCTGCAGTGCCAGAGGCATTGGCAGTGTCCTGGTCTCTCCTGCCCTCTTCCTGTGGTACTTCCTAAGTCTTTTCCATAGGGTGCTTTGTGGCTGTGGGGGGCAGGGGCGAGAGGGGCCAGAGTGGATATGAGGACCAGTGAGGGCTCAGTCAGATCCCCTCTGTCCCCATCAGCAGTCACTCAGGACATGTTTACATGTGCTCCAGGAGTGCAGGGGAGGGGGCGCTTTAATTAGAGCAGCTCTGAGTACTGCAATTATAGCACACTGGACCAGCATCCCCACACATCTACCCGGGGGGCCTTTTTCCTTCTAGCTTGGCTTTGTTTCTTCCTATAGGTTTGTTGAAGCAAGCTGGAGTCAGCCTGAGCAAGCTACCCAAGGAAGTAAAGGTTTACCTGGTGACCAGACCCTCAGCCCCGTTCTGCAGTAAGTAGCAAAGAGGAAACTAGAGTAAGCAGGAAGCCAGCCTGGCTGCACAGACGAGCTGTGGGGAACTTCCATTTGGGCCTGTCTTCCTAAAGGGACAGTCCCTCTCTGCTTGAAACAGGTAGTCCCATTGGGAGCCACAGGTGCTTCAAAAATTGTTGGGGAGAAAGATTAGCTTCAGAGTAGCTTCAAACCCCTTGGTACCCACTGCTGAAAGGGTCCGATATGTTGTGCTCCTCCGAGGGAATGCAGACATCCTCGTGTCTTCAGCAGCCAGGCTCCTCAGTGGATCTCACTGTCCTGGCCTCTCTCTCAGCACCACCGTGTTCCCTTCTTCAGCAACATCCTCAGTTGCTGAGGAGCCATGCTGTGTCGCAGGCAGTGGGCAGAGCCAAGATGCCAGCATGTTGCCTGCTGTGGACCCTCACCTGCATCCTCTTACATACCCACCAAAGGAGACAGGAGACGCACCTGAGTAAAATAGAGTGACTGAGACTGGGATCTGGCCTGGAAGGTGTCTGAGCCATGGTAAACCCACGCTCACGAAAACAGTAGCAAATATCAGGCCTGATTTTCCCATGCTTCCAAGAATGTTACCCTGGTCTAACTCCACTAGCCCTAATAGAGTTCTACCTGATTTATACCAGCAAGGGAGCATACCGAGGCCAAGTGACAGTGTCTGATACCACCTTCACTTCCTCCCTGCCCTCTTTCTCTGTTTTTGCTTCACTCCCACTCTTAAAATGACCTGCAGCAGAACAGAATCCAACAAGCAAACAATTACACACCCAGCCAGCTACCAAGTAGTCTCTTTTTTGTGACAAAGCTCTGCTCAGATTTTCTCCATACAGTGTTTGTGAGGGCTGGTGATGGGGTTGGGAGGCCTTCCTTGGTGAAAGGTGAGGGCTTGGCCCAGAATCAGCATCTTCTGCCTCACTCTGGCACCCACTGTCTGTCGCTCAGTGTATTACAGCTTGGTGCAGTTTCACCTGTCGCAGAAGAGGAACTCGGTCACCAACATCGAGATCACTTTCCGCAGCGCTGACTCCACAGACTCCACAAAGATCTCCATGTGAGTAACCTCCAGCCTCTCCCTGCCTGGCTGTAAGGAGTGAGATTGTTTCAAATCAGGCGCGTGCCCAATACTAGCACAAATGGCCCAGTGCAATCCCCATCAGGTGACCTGGAAATGTGACAAATCTCACTGCTGCCCTGGGCAGGTGCATGCACCAAATGCCCACCTCTAACAAGGTTTGGCCAAACTAACCCAGTCTCCCAGACATTTGGCCATGGGACAGGAGTGGAAATGACTGGAAAAGCTGGAAGCAGCAAGAAAGGAGTTTACTGACATGTTGTTACATGCAGCAAAAAAACCTAGGGTACCACCAAAGGAGGAAATCTACTGTGGCTGGGGACCAAGACCAGGTGTAGGGATGATAAGCAGTATCTGGACCACGCCCCCATCCTCCAAACTGTATTTGCCTTAAAAGGGCCAGGTTCCCTCTCACCCTCCATCCCCCTTTGACTCAGCTCCTCTGCTGGGGGTGGATTTTCCCACCACAGAGAAGTTCCCAGCAGGCAGGGAGCCAGCCTCTCCAACTTATACATTTGCCTTTCCTCAGTCACTGGCATGGCAGGCAAGAAGCTGCAGGGAGGAGGTGAGACCACAATGTGCAGCACTCTGCCTGGACTCAGTGGGTGGACATCCATTTGGAGCCACAGCCACCTGGCATAGGGCAGAGTAGCACAAGCACTGGTGCCCAGATGGCTCTTACTGCCAAGCTGAGCTGAAATGTGGTGCAGCAAAAAAACCCCAAACAAACAAAAAAAACCCCAAAATCTGACATCCAAAAAACCAAACAAACAAAACCCCCCCCTTCTTTAAATTGTGCTGCTTCAAGAGAAGAAGAGGTGAGATAGAGGGAGGAGGGTTTCCCCCAGGGGATCTCCAGTCTACAGCTGTACATCTGTAAGGATTATGAGCCTATGACTCCAGACTTAAAGAGTTTACATAAGTCCAGGTGGATGGCCAGGCCCTTTAGAGCTTGGACTGACCTACATCATACCTGTGAAACTGAAGCCCATGAATATTTATTGCTAGACAGATAATTCCTTAAGGGGCTAATGAGAGGGTTTCAGATTCAGGCCCTGCACCATCTCTAGGCTCAGCAGCTCAGTAATTTGACAAGTATCCACCAGATGGAGCAGGATCTCAGGAAGGAAAAGGACAGGGAGCCAGAAATTAACAAAGCTAAGGCCTCTTCTGCCTCTCTCCTCAAAAAGTTACGGGTATTGCACAATTAGCTGGTTAATTGGGAAATGAACTAAAACCCGCTGCACGTGCAAAGTACCTGTCACACCATAAAAAATAAGTACTAACTTCATAGCTGGTTGGTATCCAACTTCAGTTTGTACCTGTAGCAGGGTCTCCCCTGCAGCTGCGGCTGGGAGCTTTGTCAGCTGACAGGACTCCCAGCTGCTGGGATGCACTGTGCCTAGCTGTTTTGGGGAGTCTTGCAGACCCAGAGTCCAGCAGCCGAAGATTTTGGTTCCTGGCAGTGCACCTCCCAGTGCTAGGACTCAGCTGGGTCCCAGCAGCTGTGGGGTGCAGCTGCAATCTCCCAGACCCAGCGGTGCATGGGGCCTCCTGGGGCTGGGAGATCACAGCTGCTGCAGTCTCTCAGCTCCAGGGGCTTCATGCACCTCCAAGACTGGAAGACTGAAGCAGCCATGATCTCTCAGTCCCAGCAGTTTCAAGCACACCAGGGGCTGGGAGATCACAGCAGCTGCATCTTCCAACCACAGAGGTGTGTGGTGTGCTTCCTCAGCTGGGAGCCCTTCAGTTGAGGGGTTCCCAGCCAGGGGAACTTGCTTCTGGTCACTGCAGGGGGAGCCCAGGATCAGGCTCCCCTATACTGTCAATAGGACATGACGGGATCTAATGAATGATCCCACACTTGCACCTTCTGCCATGCACCTGTGGCATGACAGGAGGTGTGACTGTAGATCTTGCATTAGATCCCATTGCACCTTTACCTGCACATGAAGAGGAGCCCCGAGTTCTAAAAGGAAACATTTTAGCACTTAACCATAGGGCATAGAGCTCCAGTAGCATCAATGTAATCGCACACACAGGAGCTCTCATTCCCATAGAGGAGCAGCTTTATCTGTTTCCCTTCAAACCCTATAAAAGGTGTTTTCAATCCATACTGAGAAGTTTATTACCAATATGTCAGTTTAAATCCACACATGAAGGAAGAAGCTTTTCTCATTCAGGCAAGGCCTACCTATCCTTCCCACATAGTCTGGCCAAGAGTCTTACACCTGGGAACATAAACACAGGCCTTTCTATCCCCATTAGGCATTTAATCAAGGAACCCAGGTTACAAATGCTTCAAGCACATGACCATTCCCAGGGGCTTCAGTAGGATTTGAAGGCGTTCAGCACTTCAGAAAATGTTCTTAGGCTCCTAAATATGGACCAAGAGCTCTCAGTGCCCCGAAATGTCCCCAGATGGGGTAAGGCCTGCAGGATGTTTTCAAGCAGATCCCCCTTTAAGGCCAACTGGAGCTGCACACGTACAGAGCATGAGGAATCTGGTCCTTTGTTGTTTGCTACAGTAAAATCATTTACCCCACTCACCAATTCTGTGATCCAGGAGGGGGTGGGGTATATCCTACCTGTGGGCCTTGTTCTGCAGAAGAGATCTCTCTTGTTTCACAGTTCCTTGCTATTCATACACTGCCAGGGCTAGAAAGGACTGCCAGGGTATCTAGTTCGACCCCAGAGATTGCACAATTCGTCTTTTCTATTTATGGTACTTTTGGGGGGGGGCGGCAGCTCCAAACCAGGTACAGCAGGCCCAATTCACTCCACCATTCCATGAAACTGCACTGGCATCAGGGGAATTCCTTCTAGGGATGTACTAGGAACACTGTTTTCTAACCCCCAGGGGGGCTGATCACCAGCCATGCCAGTCTCACTGCCCCATCTCTGACAGAGACCAGGGCCCAATATTTAAAAGGGGGCAACATCTCTCACTTTATGCATTTCCAAATGCTCCAGGTCACACGAGCAGCATTTAATGCTTCATGAAAGTGCTGGGATAGCTGCTTTGACTGTGTGGAATAGGCATGTTCACATCCCCCTGCCTCTGCAAAGGATAGGGATATAACATGGAAGCCCTTGCTGCATGTAACATACACTACTCAATTAACTGGGTAACCATGCAATAAATTTAGACCGGCCACACATGCAAAGTAAGACCAGCCACAAGTGCAAAGTAATTATTACATGATACAAATGACTATTCAGCTATAAAAAAAGAGCCAACCAGCTCTTACACAACCAGTTGTGTAACAACTCTATAGCTGGTTTCTATCCAGCTTTAACTGGAATGTGTAGCAGGGCCTGGAGAGACAACCTGGAGGAGGGAGAGGTTTACCAGGACAGAGCCTCCCTTCTCTACTGCAGGGTTCAATCCCATAAAAGGATCCTCTGACTTTTTATCAGGTTTTATCAGGATTCCTACTAACAACGCTGCCACCTGCTGTGACTCGGTGGACATCTGTATCCTCTCTCCCCATTGCCCTTCTGTACAACTATATTTATCTGCACTTCAGTCCCCTGTTCTCATGGGCATCCTTCACCCTTCCTTGCAGACCCAAGCAGAAGCAGATGGGCCAGGGGCTGCTGGCTCATACAGTCCCAGCATGCCAGATGGAGAGTGTAGTGCTGACGTACCTCCCTAGGAACCGGTTCTGGAGAAAGGACGCAACCTCCATCACAGGCAAATTCTGCACAGCTCCACTGCCAGTTGAGAACAGGTAAGCCACAGACATACCCCTCAGGCCCACTCCAGCAAAAGAGCCTTGCTGGCTGGTCTCATGGCATGATCTTTCACCCTTTGGGAATGTGCTACTCCTCTGGAAAGTTCGAAGCTCCCCAGGAGCCCAGTGCATGCATTAAAGCCTGCCTCTGTATCTTCCCTGATTGTTGCTGGGTATAACATGCACCAGCAATGGAAGAGGAATTGAGGAAGGGCTGACATCCCACATAAGCTCCTGTGCCCACCCCAGTATAAGAATATGTGCTCACACACAATGGCAGAAGATGACTTATGATGAATATAGCCCATGATCTGAGCTAATGAGTCACTGCTTCTTGAATGGGCAAAAGTCTCTGGAAATCTCTGTCCTAGACCAAATTATTTTCTACCCCTCACTTCCTTCTCACTCACCCCATCACTGGAAGGAAAAAGGCTGCCACTCAAGTCAGATCTATTGCAGAGGGTCTTATTAATGCTGTCCAGAACTGTGGGCAAATGGCATCTGCACCAGCTTCTCCTTGGTTTTGTCCTCATTTGTGCTCTCTACCTGATCCTTTCCAGTTCCAGCTTCATTTTGAGAGGTTCTGGTCACCAGCATCTTTCATGATAGGGCCTTTATGTCTGAGAAGGCAGAAACCCCCCCTGGTCTCTCTGAAATCTATGGCGGTTCCTGACATTATGGCCCAGGGTAGCCATCTTGTGAAAAACAGCATTGTCAGTGCCAGAGAGCATGAAACTGCTATCATCCAGCCTTAATTCACTTCTCCAAAGCAAGAGGAACAAAAAGCAAACCTTTCTCCCATTAAGGGAACTGAAGCTCTCTTCCCCAGTGACCATGCCCTACAACTGTATCTCACAGCCAGGAGAATAGATGCCCCTCATTTTAGGATCTAGCATTCCCACAGCTGCAGCACAAGTGGGGAAGCCTCCTCCCCCTCAGGCCCATAGGCAAGGACTAAGCACTATTAATGTGACCCCTGAGTCCTAGAGCATGAAAACTGTCTCCCTGGAAAAAAAATCCCTCAAGGCACTCCAACTCATCCTGTACACACACATACACACCGAGTCACAGAAAAGTCAAACTGGAAGGGACCTCCAGAGGTCATCCAGTCCAACCTCCTGCCTGAGGCAGGATCAACCCTATCCAAACCATCCTATACAAATCCATAATCTAAACTTTTCTTAAAACTATCATCAACCCTGACACAATACAAGATATGACATCCTAACCTGCCACAGTAAAGCAGGGGGACCACAGCAGCCAATGTCCTGCTTCTGTAAACAGTTGTTAATATACACTCAAGAGGTCCAGAGTAGAGGGCCATGCCCCCCGCTACAAAGGAAGGCAATCCCCTCCCCTCCAGTCCATACCAATCCGACCATGGGGTAAAATTCCTTCCTGACCCCCAATATGGCAAATGATATCACCCTGAGCAGATGGGCAAGACCCTCTAGCCAGGAACCTCTGACTTTAAGTCCCAGTAGGAGCACTGACAGACCCCAGTCAAAATCCCCAGCCTTGGCTGTAGCCAACACCTCTGAGGGAGGGTTAAAAACATCCTGACATATGTGGCAGAGGAGGACATCTACACACACACCCCTTGCAAGGAAGGCTGGACACAAAGGTGCATTCCCCGGCATGCAGAGGAGGCCAGGAAGCAGTGAGCTTCCCAGAGCTGCCATTTCTCTGGTGCTCCTACTCAGTGGTGTGCCCAAGTGGCTCACACTGGCCTGTCCCCATAGACGGATTCAGGCGGGGTGCATGGTGGGGAGGGGTGCTCAGCAACACCCTTCTTCAGCTGTGTAGTGCAGTGCTCATGGGCTTGTCATATTGTTCTCAAACCCAGGCCATGAATGCTGCCTCTACTCACCCACCCAAATTTGGTGGCAGGGGAAAAGGGGGCAGTAAGCAGTAGCAGGGCTCAGCCCCTGGGTTCCAGAGCCACAGCAAGCCTGCATGGCCTTGCTGTCATGTGGTCTGGCAGCAGCTGCACTAATGAGCCAGGGAAGACAAAGAGCTCACCATATGTGCTGCACATCCCACTGGGAGGTATGGTTGCACCCGCTTTGAATCTGCCTTAGCCACATCACCCGTCTACACTTGGATGCCCTCTCAAAGCCAAACTCCAACCTTTCAAGGCACTGGAACACAAGGCCAATTCATTACGTCCCAACATGGCAACTCCTGTAAAAACTTTCTACCACAAAAGAGACCGGAGATGCCTCTGGGACATAGAGCTGCCCCTCAGAGGTGCAAGGTCAGGCTGGCGGTCACCCATTGCCCTCCTGGGCAGTTCCCCATGAGACATGAGCAGTTGATAGAAGCAAGCATTCCTCCTCAGCTTTCTACAATTTGGCTAAACCTTTTGTACTCCTCTCACAGTGAAAAGATGTTTTGCCTGTCTCAGAACCTGACACTGACAGGAAAAGAAGGCCTTCTGCATGACCTGGCAATCGCCTGTCTGTAGGACAAGACCTGGAGCACACCGAGTGCACTGGCATGGGGAGATGCGCTCTGAAACGTGTTCTCTTTTTCTGCTTCTGGGTAGCATTTCCTCGAAAAAGGACAGAACTGGATGCAGTCTTCATCTCCTGCCTTGGGGTAGAAGGACTGACCGTGCTAAAACAGAATCATGTGCATACAAGGAAAAGCAAAACTTTAAAAGATTACAGAAGTAGTTTGGGAGTCCAGACTCCTGGATTCTAGGCCCAGCTCTGCAAGCGAGTGTGTGTAGCCTTAGTTTAGTCACTTAATCTCAGTTTCCCTTTCTGTAAAATAGGATAGTAACATCTTGCAAGGGGATCACAAGGGTGAAAGGACTGGTTCATTAAAATGCTCTGAGATCTTCATATTAAAGGTTCTAGGTAGGCAAAGTATTATTTTTATTAACAAAGGCTTAAGGCTCAGAATTTCATGAGCAGGAAAACATATCACAGTAACACTAACACACACACACACACACACACTACTAGTTCAATCTAAAGACATATAGAATTTGAGACCCTCTCGATTTCATGAGTGGCTCTACCATCCATTTATCACGTTTCCCCTTCACATGACAAGACTCCATGAGCTTTCCCAACTTCCAAATTAGGCTCTTTTAGGTCAGCTCAAAGTCAGATAAAACACACTGCGGTGATAGAGCAATATCCCTCTTTTAAGCTGGTGTCAATCGCTCCACAAGATACACAGCAATGGAGATTCAGGCTCATCATACACATCATAGCTGGAGATCCATGGCAACACAGAATGGTGTTTCAAGCTCCGAGACTGTAAAAGGATGAAAAGGGCTGTATGGAAGCCCTAATGTGGGGGACACAGACACAAATGTCTCTCCCCTTGTTCACCCCATCTCACTGATCCTGTGAGCCATATATGAATTTTCTGGGTAAAGAGAGGAAAGTGTTGCTATCTTTTCTATCCCTAAACCCATGCACCTCAGTGCACAAATCCCTAGATTCACTGGATGAAACCAGCAGAAGGGACATGCAGAGGCTTCCTCAGGCTTGGCGAGGTTTTTTTCACTTGTCACCAAGGAAGGATCCTGTCAATTCTATTTCAGTCAAAGTGGGTGGCTGCAGACCTATACAAGGCTCTCCTTACCTCTAGTCCTTACCCTTCCCCAAGTTCTCCATTTTGGCCATTTGCAAGGCAGCTGGCTAGCATACTAACTAGGGAGAGGCTACAGGAGTTTCCTTCTACTGAGGACAATTATATTTGGTGCCCCAAATACACATTTTTAAGAGGAAGTGCCTTGGAGGGCATCTTGAGAAATACAGCAGGCCTCAAAGGTACCAAAAGTCTACCCAAGCATAGAAAGCCACCTCAGAGAGATTTATTTGATTAGGGGACCCATCCCTATAGATACAACCCAACTTATCAAGTCTGGTGGCTCCAAGAGCTGCATAGTTCCCTTGTGCTGATCAGAAGCCTTTACACCCTTCCTAAAAGGACACTAACAGCTACCCCAGAGAAGCCTCCTAGCTGTACAGCAAGCAGCAGCAGCAGTGAATGACTTCTGTTTGGGGAACCATGCAGCAGGGCTGTGGCAGAGGAAACTACAATGCAGTGGCCCTGCACTAGTGCTGTGATAGAGGGGCAGCTGTCTGAGCTGCAGGGCCCTTTACAGCAGTTATGTGCACCCCTTTTTAAGTGGCCCTGGCTGAGTTTTGCAGGAGCTCAGAATCACCAGGTCACAGGCCTGACCCTAGCCAGACCAGAACACCAGTATATGAGCCTCTTGTAGAAGCAGCACAGAGCTGCTGGATCTGCCTCTGCATCTTGGTGGTAGGGGGCATTATGCCTGTATTGTGGCCCCACTGCACCAGCCTAGCTTAAAGAGGCCCACAGTGACTAATGCTGTCATCACTCCACACAAGCCACCAGCAGATGAAAGCGCTGGGCGTGTCTGCAGCACAACTTTAGTCACTACTATAGTTGCAAGGTGCCTTCCACTTCCACAGTGGTTTGAGTTCAAACACTGCACCTTCTTTGCTTCTTCTTTCTGACCTCACTGATCCTTCTGGGAGGGCTTATCTTGATCAAACCTCCCCTCTGTCTTCATGTGCACCCAGGTGGGCAACAAAATCCAGCTTAGGTTCCTTCCATAGAGCTGTATTCACATTCTCGCTTCAAAAGGGATACAAATCCATTTGGGGTTCTTCCTCCTTCCAAGGCTGCACCCAGAATCCATTCCAGGAGGGCACAGAAATCATATCCCAAGTCTTCTCTTCCTTCATGTTACAAGTGCATTGGCCAAAAGACCCAAACTTTCCTGTGTATCAGAAACCGCTAGATTGTCATGGCCTGGCTGTGGTTGTCAGAAATGGAAAAAGGCAAGTCCTGGACATGGAATTATAGTAAGTCTAAGAGGACTAGCTGCCACAGTATAATATTGAAAGAAACCTGGACACAACTCCACCCTCCATGTGCATGAGGTCTAACACTGTTAGGTCTTTCCCATTTCCCCACTTCCAGAGACAACACAAAAATCTTTTGAAAAAGGGATCTTGCCCTTCAAGCCCACAAACCCCAGTGCTTCATCCCTGTCATTAACAAGTGCCCTCAGATCCAAAGAGCATATAGACTCTGTGAACAGGTTGACACTGCTCTCTCTCCAACAGTTTTAATGTACCTGATTACAAGAGCGGTTGACACACCATTGAGTTGAGGGATTAGAATATAAAAATGAACACACACAGACATCTCTGGTGCCACTGCCTGTGAACAGAAGGCAGGGTGGAAAGTGTCCAGGGGGGTGGGTAGGTCACACTTCAGTCTCATGCATGTACCTTGTGTTTGTAGCTATGTGCATGTGTGGCATACCCGTATGACCAGCTTGGTGCATGTTAGTGTCTTTCTGATTAGAGGTGTGTGCACACACATGCGTGCAAGTCTCCATGATCAAAACCAGCTGTTGTTCCCTAGAGTTCTGGGGTCTGGGTGGGAGCCAGAGGGGCTCGTCCTTTGAAGAGAACTCTGGGATAACTCCGAAGAAGGTTTCCAGAAGCTGCAGCAGGGAAAAAGGAAGGTGGAGGTAAGGGGGTGGAAAAAAGAAGCCACTATTATTACAACCACAGTTCTTAGCCATTTGTCAAACTCTTCCCCCGACAATGAAAACCGATGCCACTCAAATCAGTTTGCAAAATCCACATCAGTCACACAACAAGAAACCAGAGGTCTGGGGAATGCATGCATGCACAGTTCTACAACAGCAACAACTGCAGCTGATCATGAGTACCTTCAGCATCGCGTTCCCTTAGGCCCAGTTCTCATCACTTTGCCCCTCTGCGCCTTCCTTTTTCAGACTAGCACAAAGAGGGTGTACAATGCTTTCTGGGAACTATAAACCCCCAAGGCAAGCTGTGCAAATATAAACAATCACATTAGGTGCATGAGGATGAAAGGGGCAAGGCCTAGTGGGCAAAACACCAATGCCCACTAACAAGGTAGCCTGAGTAGTTCAAGTCCCCCCCGCCCCCCTCCCCTCCCCCCCCAGCTTATCTCAGTCACAAACTAGAACAAATGCAAAATGGAAGGGAAATCATAGGATTTTGGTAAGAAAGCTGAATTCCGTTTCCTAGAAACTATTCTAGGCAGAAGTACATGGGTGAAATGTCTGAAAATTATGCAAAATCTTTGGATTGTGTATTTTAAACAAGCCATCTGAATGTTACCAAGGCCCCCCTCAGACAGCTGGTGAAAGGATATTTTCTCTCTTGGATTATCACTGTTTATACTGCTCTTAGCCAATTTTATTTCCTGATGTGCCATAGGGTGGATTGGATTGTCCCCTTTCACATGACTAAATTCAAGCTGGGAATCAGAGGATAAAACAAGAGAATAATTTGCCTCTCAACAGCACTTCTAACACCCAAGGATCCCAAAGCATCTTTACAAACTATAGGCTGAAGAATATCATATACCACTGAAACTTAGCATGTTTGTAACACTACACAGTTGTTCCATCCCAGTTTAGAAAAAGGAAATGAAACCGCATGTTACACAAAGGGGGAATTTAGGAAGGCAGTGTGTAGGCTGGCAAGAAAGCTGAGGTTAGGACCCTCTGAAAGGGAAAGCCCCAGGGGATCTCTAATGACACAAACAGGATCTCAATGATACGTTGCTTGAGATGATGACACCCCAGAAACACACCACACTGTGTTTGTGTGAATCTCCCTTGTTTTCTATTGCTAATTGTTATGAAGATTATTACATAGCAGAGGGTTCCCTGGTTTTCTACTGCTAAATGTTATGCAAATTATTATGCTGCAGAGAGTTCCCAAACTGTAGCGCTGTTGATGTACAGAGCATGTGCAGGTGAGCTCTGAATATGAAGCTGGCTGGACAGAAGGTGCTGCTGCTGCTCCTTATTTCCAGCTAAATAGTATTAAGGGGCTTTTAGCTTCCAGTAAATATTTTCCAAATGCAACCCTTCCTCATAAGGCAAGATCATCCCTATGCAAACCATCCCATACAAGTCCTTGTCTAACCTATTCCTATAACCAGGGTTTGAATTACAGGGGGAGCTCAGGGGGCCTAAGACCCCCTCCCCCTCATAAGAGACTAGAGCCCTCCTCGTAGGGTGGTCAGCCCCCCTTCCCCCTCACTCCCCTACAACAGCCCAGAGCCCATGTGCCACTGCACACAGCCCCTGGCCCACCCCGCACTTTTCTAAGAAGCCCAGGAGGTGGCAGCTCCTAGCTGCCACCGCCACTGGGCCCAGCCCCGCAGTACTGGCGGAGACCAGTGCAAACAACCCCAACCCTGGCCAATTTTTTTTTGCAGACCACCCCCCACTCCCCAAGTGTAATTCAAACCCTGCCTAAACCTATGTATAAACCCTGCTACACAACTACAAGGCATTGTTCCCAAAGACACCAAAAGCACCTCAAGCTGCCACCAATAAAGCAGGGGGATGAGGACAGTCAGTGTCCTGCCAATACAAGGGTTGTTAAAATGCATTCAAGAAAGAGGACCATACCTCCACTACAGAGGAAGGCAACCCTCCCCCGGCCCCCACTTTCTGTGGCTGAGAATGGCAGAGGAGGTGGTTTATACTCCAGTGGGTGAGCAGGGGGGTGATCTGCACCACAGTGAATGAGGGAGGAGGTCTCCATGAAATAAGCCCCATATGAGGATGAGCCATGAGCTTTAAGTGCTTTAAGAAACCTCACCTCTAGGCTGAGCCATTGCCTCAGGACTGGCTGAAAGAGAAAAGTACGCCCAACCCCTGCAATTTCTGGACTTTCTTTGCAAGTTTCCAATCTGAGTATCGACACAGCTTATTAGCTTGTGAGACCCAGCAAGTCCAAAGCCTGAGACTGCTCAGCATCCAGCAGCTTTTAGTGGGGCTGTATGAAGCGGAAGGTAATATTGGTGGCCCCACCAAGCCACATGCACAATATTTGTTTTTTTTCTGGTGTAGCAGTGAGAACTGAAAGGTTCTGTTCAAAAAGCTGGGAAATTTTTCCTGCCTATTAAGATGTGAGGTCTCATGAAGATGTTTTACCGAGAGGACTCTGGATGGCTGGAGTTCTGATATCCTTCCAGCATAAGGATAGCCTAAAAGTCAAACCTGATTTGAAAGATGAAGCAATTTTCATTTACACTGGGTAAAACTCGGATTTTACTTGTGTTTGCTTACATCTAGTTAATTCAAATGTCTGGCAGTGAAACATAAAAGGCTATTATTGTTATTATTTGTAAAAGATGCAGTATGTCTGCCACTTCAAGTCAGGACTGGGAAACTCCAAGTCCTCCAACAAAACCTGAGGAGACAAGACTTAACGTAACTGAGATTTAAAACTTAAACATAAATCAATAAATTTAAAAAACAAGCAAGGAGGCCCACCCACCCTTATATATATACACACATATACAAAATCTTTGTAGGTCTCTATCTATGAGAAAGAAAACTCCCTTCACCCTAAATACGGCTCTTCTTTTTGGCAGGTTATGTTTCTATTTCCCAAATAAGCTCATCTTAATTTGGCAGATATGGGAGCCTTGTATGTAGGGGGAAGAGTTAAAGCAAGCCTGCATAACAGAGGAAGAGTTTGGTCTTGCCACTGAGCCTCTGTTGTTTTCAGGCTGTTTTTCCAAATGGTGAGTGAGAAGACTGGGCCAGAAGCCTCCCTCTTCCCAATACACACATCTTCTTTAAATAGAAACAGCCATCTGATCTCCAGAGATCATTTCAGTTACTGGTCTCTGAAAAGACTATCCCATCCCTGTCAGAGTAGAGCAGCTTGCAGCTAGATCACAATGAGCAAATGCCAGGACTAGCGCTGAATGCAGTGGCCTGGTTGAGATAGCTAGGATGGCTTTCAGAGCACAGCAAAACACACCTTGGAGCCCAAAGGGTGAGAGCTGGAAGGCAGAGCTGAGCCCCTGCAGTGCAGCAATGACTGTGATAGCAGTGACTGGCTATTGCCTGGTGTATTTAGCAATGGGAAGCCAAGAGCGGCTGTCACAGCACTGTGACGGCAGTCAGCATGAGGGACTACAGCCGGAGAGCAGCAGTGAGCTAAATGTAGCTCAGCCTGGAATTCAACCCTTGACCCCGGATCTCAAGCACAACCTATCCTGGCAGCTATTTTTGTTCAGAAATCTGTCCCAGTCCCCTCAGACTTGCACAGATCCCAGCGTCTCTTCCTCTGAGGGAGGGGGAGGGATGGATGAGGGGAAGGAGCCCCAGAGGAGAGAGCCTCTTACTCTCACGCACCAGAGGTGGTCATGAGGCAGGGGGAAGCACACCATGTTCCTTTAACAGGACACACCCAGGGGAATCTGTGACATGCTCCTTTCCTCAGCTCACCCAGGAATGTTTAAACATAATGGCTGCTGGCACATGGAAGCCTTGACCACACCTTCTTGCTCTGGCTGTGTACAGTCTTGGCAGAAACAAGGAGACAGAGCTTGTGCTGCCCCAGAGGAGGGGCTGGTGGCCCAGGGACAGCGGAGTCAAAGGAGGCTTAGAGCCATCCTTGTGCCACTCGCATGCTGCACTGGCTGGGTATCAGGCAGCCCCCAAAGTCAGCAGCCCCGACAGATTACCTGCTCCAGCCTTGCAGCCTGGAGCAGCCCATAGCACTCAATGAAGCCCTGCACTCTTCTACAGCCAGCCAGCAGGCCCCCAAAATGCCAGAGGTTTCAGGGGGCTAGCCTTGCACTGGGGGAATTCTCCTCTGTACTGCTTGTGACACCTTTACATCTACTGTATATCACTGGGTAAAGGCCAAAATCAACACACCAGCTTCCCATGAACAGTCCGTCCATGCCCCAAACTCTGGGCTGGTATTTGGCTAATTTATCTTGAAATGACACCGTGCTTCACAAGAGGAAACACCATAAGTTCCCAGCCCCAACATGTCTGTGAGCACAATGGTGCTGAGTCAATCCTTCTCATGGCCCACTCACTAAGTGAGAAATCACGACTAATGCCATCAATTTGGTGATGATTAAACATCAATCGACAATCTCCCAGTCTTTCAGAGCAGCAGCTCAATGGCTCTTTCCGAGGCCAAGAAACACACCAACGTAAGTCAGGCTTAATGCTGCTGAAGTCAGTGGAGCTACCAGGGACTAAGCTAATGCAAGGGCAGGACCAGACACTACAGACCAAAGTCTGCCCCTTGTGACCCCCATGCAAAACTGTGAAAGTCAGTGGGGCTATTCACTGGGAGCATAACAAGGAATTCAGGCTAACAGGAGCAAGAGGGGACTCAGGGGGTCCCTGGGGAAGCCTAGTGTTGGCACTTCCAAGCTCCCTATATGTTCAAAAGCACCCATGCTCCACTATCATGTATAGGGACCACTGTAATTTGAGTTTCAGGGGCAAGACCGAAATTCAGCATTTCCTCTGAAGCCCCAGAAAACTACAATTTGGCTGAAAATGGCCTGAAACTGTGGGAGAGGAGGAGGGCGGGGAAAAAAAAATTTAAACTTACCTGAAGCACAGTAAAGAAAGGTAGCAGAGTTCTAGAAACATTGGAAACCCCACATATTTTCAAAGGCAGCCTAGTACAGACTGAGCCCCTGCTGGGGCTCAGCCAATCAGGTTGTTTGAATCCCCACTTTGGCAGGGAGTTTAAAAGCCCTGCCCAGAGTGGAGCAGGTAAGTACCCCCTGCCCTAGGGGCTGCAGGCATAGGTATGTCAAGTGCCTGCCTCCACAGCCAGGAATGGGGCACAGGATGCTCCTGCTGCAGGGGCTTCCCCCAACCCAGCATGGGTTTCCCAAGTCCTGTTTTGCTTTGCTGCTCTGCAGGAGTGGGGGGGAGGGGGGAATTTCCCCCTACCCCCCTCTTTGCATGGTAGGGCAGAGCATGGCTCGGGAGAGCCATGCCAGGTGGAGGCCCCACCATGCCAGGTGATGCCCCTGTGCCGGAGGCATACACAGCTCTGGGGGCAGGCACCTGGCAGGGGTCTCCCAAGTCCTGCTCTGCCCCACTGCACAGAGAAGGGGAGGGTGAAATTCCCCTCCTCTCCCATGTGGCAGTAGAGCAAAGCAGGGCTTAGAAGATCCTGCGCCAAGCTGGAGGAATTTTTTACTTGTACAAGTGGCTCTGTTGAGCTTTGATGCTCAGCTGCTCAAGTCCATTCTTGGGGAGGGGAAACCACATGAGCAGGAATACCCCACTTACGTAAGCAGTGTCAAAGAGTGACAGCTGCCCATGAACAGCTGAAGAACAGCCTCTGTGCTGCTGTTCAGTGGTAATCAGCCCCACAGTGAACTCCCTCAGCCAGTCAGGGGTGTGGGAGAGCCCACCCTGAAAAACACTGAAATTGGCTCAGGCAAGCCTGCAGCGAGCCTGGTCCCCCCCAAAAAAACCTTGAATTACAGTGGTCCCTAACCATGTATAGCTACTCCTCACTTAATGTTGTAGTTACGTTTTTGAAAAATGCGACTTTTAAGCAAAACGATGTCAGGCGAATCCAATTACATCACAGTAGTTACCTACTAGCAGACGGTGGCTAAACAACGTTATAACCGAACATTACGCGATTGTGCCCCCCAGAATGCTGTAGCGAGGAAAATTTCACAGCCATCATCAGACTTTCACTGATGCTGAGAGGCACACGGTGATCTATTTTTGACTAGTAAAAGGATATTTCAGAGATTTGGGGTTCCCCACTTATTTTAGCTCTGTTGAACCAAGCATCCTGTGTGGGTGACATTAACAAGGGTAGGAAGGAGGGAGTTACAGGCACTGATAGGTTATCTTGTCTATTTAACCGAAGGGGCAACTAGTACCTAAAAAGTCTTCCCAACCCATGAGGGCTGAGTGGAGGACACTGGGATCTGTGCCCCTTACCCAGTCTTCATGGAGCCCAACCAACCCCCTACCCCTTTAGCAAATTAGATTGGCAGATGTTAGCTCACCACTCCCCCTAGGCAGCGTTAGTGCTAAGCTTTGTTAGATCATTAACTAAGACAGTTAGATCATTCACCACCTCCAAGGTGCAGAGACATACACGTGAGTGTTTCCTTCCACAGGCAAGTGAGTACTTACACAGGAATCCTACACAGGGTGATGTGTGCCCATGTTAGAAGTGCCCTCACTTCATATACTCCCCTTCGCTCACATAGTCCATAAAAGACCCCGGCAACTCAGCAAAATCTTCCAACACAAGACTGGTAGAGTCCTCACCCAGCAGGTCACTGTCGGGCCGGCCTGCCTTGGGGTGGGCAGGAGGAGCAGAAGCAGGAGCAGAGGGAGGAGGTGGTGGAGGGGCTGAGGCAGCTGTTTGGACAAAGGTGGGTAAAGGACGAGGTGGGGCTGGTGGCTCATCACACTCTTCCAGCTCCTTCTCCAGCTCTGAGGAGGCTGGTCCCAAGACGTGGTAGAGGCTGGGCAGGCGAATGTCAAAGCGCAGGCCAAACTTTGCAAAGAGCTTGTCATTGAGGGCATAGAGCTTCTCTGAGATGTCACAGCCAAGGTGGGATGAGAAGAGACGGGCAATGTAGCGATCCTTCCTCAGGAGAAAGTACAGCCTCTTCCGTGGCCATGAGACATAACTGCAGTCAGTCTCTGCTGTCAAGGTGACCTACAAGGGGCAAGGGGGAAGGAAGGGACAAGAATTGATGGACTGAATGGCTCAGCCATGGGGCTATTGCCTTAAAGTGGGGCTCTATCCTGAAAGGGAACCACTACCTAATTTTATGCTCGTGCCCGTGCCCCCGCCCACATGTGCCGCCATGTGTTGGACAGTCGGATCTGCTGATCTCAGTGCCTAAAATGGTGGTTTTCACTTCTTTTCACCCTACAGAGCCAAGACATCTCACTACCAGAATTGTAAACTACATTCTATTTAGAGAGGCACCTCTACCACCCCCTGTCTTCAAATTGTACCCCCATTTATGCCTGCACAAGGCCACTGAAAAGACCAGGGGAGAAGTACAGGTATCAGTGAAAGCCTTGCTTCCTGCAGGACTTTTGGCACTAGGGTTGGGAACTGATTTCAATGGGGAGTTCGACCTATAAAAGGTTGTGGGCCAGTCTTGCTCCTGCACACCACTGTGATGGGCTGCCCCTCTTGCCTTTGCTGGGCTGCAGGCATGCATGGTTTGAGAATGCCTGGGGACTGGAAAGCAAAAAACTTTTCCTCTTGGGCATGACCCAACTTCTCAGCTCTAATAGAAGCAGCAGCTGCTGCTGTGCAAAAGTCGACTGGATTTCCTGACAATGTGGTCTAGTCTTATTTTAATGCGATATCCCTGATATTACCACTACTGGGGCAGACTATAAACACCTGCTTAACACAACGCTACAATGCTACACAAAAAGGAAGGATATCACAGGCAGCTGATATTTGAGAGAATGCTGTGATTATGCAAGTAGGAATTGCACTAAAACATTAAAGGTTTAATTTGTTTGTTTTTGCAGAAGGGTTCAGGGCAGGGGTAGGCAACCCTCAGCACACATGCCAGAGTGTTGCACGTGAAGGCATTTTGATTGGCATGCATGCCTCCAGGCAGAGGGCGTGGAAGGTGCCAGGGCTGCAGCTGCGCTGCCACAACAAGGTTCAGGCCCTTGTGGCTCCCCTGCCATCTGTCCCTGTCACGCCAACATCTTATAAATCGAGGTTGTAGTTGCTTTTGGCACTCTGCCCAAAAACTTGCTGACCCCTGCTTCAGGGTGGGTTTTTCCCCCTCTTAGATCTTGCCCAGAGAAAGCCAGTGTCTTCTCCAGCAACAGTTATTCAGAAACTCATCAATAAATTAAACTGTCTTTGGTTGGAGCAAAGCAAAGCAGGTCAGAGAGTAACTGAGACGCAGGTATGAGAACAGTGCCATTCAGACCATACTGTAGGGGCTCCCCGTACATCCAAGTATCTCCTTACCAGGGGACCCTAGGAGGGGTTGCTTGGAAGCCAAACGTGGCTCAGCTTGCACCCACGTGCCCTTGAGTTTGATACTGAATGCCCTGCGGGCAGCTGCCTTGTGAGACGCAGGAACTAGAACATGAGAACTTCCCCAAGACAGGTTGTGAGTGACCCAGGGTCATGCCAAAACCTAAAAAGGCCAGGCCAGAATCTTCCCGACAGGCTTTTGCAAGGAATTGAAACTGCCCCAGCAAATCTCATCTTTTGCTCACAATTGACAAAGAGAAATATGATACCCAGCTCAGCAACACACTCATTACCATCTCTCTCTCTGTGCACCATCAGCTCTTACAGCTCAGGCCTCTTACAAGAAGAGTAACCATGTAACCCAACCCAATTCAGCCCCTGCGAGCCTGCCAGCTGCTGTGCAATCCAGGTCAGAATGCGGGCATTAGCCTGAGCCCGTTACTGTCAGTCTTTTACCCTTCTGCAACATACAGAGAATGGAGCAGTAGGGCTGGAGTGTTGTTGTAGCTATCAGGGTGTCCTTCCTGATGCCTGGAAGCTTTGCTTGTCCAACAGCTCTCCCAACTGTACGGTTGGTCCAATAAATAAAACATATCACAAAAAATCCTTGCCTCTTGTGCAGAGAATGGAAGCAATTGAACCCCTCAGCTCAGCGGGGAGATCTCATTCAAGGAAACCACCTCAGCTCCTCAATGTGGGCCCCAAACACAAGCATCCCCTTTGACCCAAATGTGTTTTGGCATTAGCTGGGGAAACAGGGTTGGAATCAGTCGGGGAGCCACAGTGAGATTCACATCAGCAGACAGAACTGGATTCAGATGTGAGGGTGCATTTGGTTGAATGGGCTACTAGCATGAAGCCAGCCATGGGCAGATCCCAGGATTTTGGAAAGGGGTGTATAGGAGCAGCAACTTCTGCTGCAGGAGTGGCTGCAGCACCTGCTCCTGTCCCACCCCCCACACAAGGGTGGACAGACCATGCTGCTTGTAAAGCAGTAGGGGACTTTTTTAAGGTCCTCAAGCAGGTAAAAATCTCCTCTCCCTCCCTTCCCCTTCATGATCAGTGGCACATTCCCTCTGCACCCCCTTTACCCTCCCCACTCCCCGCTGCTACCCCCAAATGATGTGGAGGGGATTGCAGTTCCAGAGC